AGATGGCATTTTTTCTTACTATTTTTTCCACAGATAGATTCCAGCAGTTTATCTTCTTTAGAGAAAATAAAGAGGCAGGCCCTCTTGCATACTGTATATAAATTACTATTCACTCTTACATCTTCCCTTGAAGACTTTTCATTGTGTTTTGGTTTTTGTTCTTTGGGTTTTTTTAATTTCAGCCAGAACAGTGGCAACACTAATCCACCTCCACTTTCTCCAGTCCCACAGCCCAGTCCTGCTCCACACCGTTTCGTGCTGAGGTTTTACAAAAGTACAGCACACACATATCTGTTTGGAAGAAGCAAACACTAACAATGGTTCAGCTCTTAGAACAAAACTTCCATTTTTGTGATCAGCAACAAATTGAGCCACATGACCAAGGTTTCTGGAGTGCATAAAGCAGGCATCCTACTCCTCTGCTCACTGCCCAGGACATAATGACAGGATGGCTTTTCCCAGATTTTTATATTTGTTTAATCATTCTTCTTTTGCCCAACCAAGATGCAATTTAGTTGGTAAAGTGAAGGTCATGGCAAAAGAAGAATGGTTATATTGTTCACCATATGCAATGAATACAAGTGAAAAGGGCTGTATTTAGCTCTACTTATTTGGTTTCATGACTCCCTTGTTCATTGCAGTTCAGAACCTCCACCTAATGCAACTGCTTCAGACCAAATATTGCTAGGGATGTAATAAGGATCTTGAAGGATTATCCCAGGAGAATATCCAGAGTAGCACAGAAAATCTTAAGGATTCAGATAATGCCTCTTCTATCTCTAACTGAAGCAAATAATGTAAGATTGATTCAATTATTGTTTCTGCATCTTTCATCAACTGTGATCAAAAATGTTCCTCTTTTTCAGTATCCAGACTTAACAGAGGTGATTTGTAGAATGACACAAAAGCTCTTCATTGCCTCTATACCATCTTCCTGATCTGGACTGTGAAAGGTCAACCAAATTTAGCCCGGTGTCACAAGCATTTCACTGTTCAGCAGTGCTACCAGTAAACCTAGACAATTTCAACATATAAATCTATAAAAAGTGTGCAACAGAATAAATTCTTTTTGGTACTGGGAAGAATTTAAAAGTGGAAGTGACAGGACTCTTCAGTTGGGTAATAGGTATCAAATATATAGCTTCTCAACGCTAAAGCTGCTGGCCAACCAAACAGTGCTTGATCTCAAGATAATGAAAATGCACTGGAGCTTAAGAGAGCCCTTGAGTAACATCTAACATGCTCAGACAGCCAAAGCATTACAGTCTGAGCTACCACAGCCTAGTAAATACATTGATGTTTTTTAAAGAGAAGTCTCACAAACTGACAATGCTTTCATTGTTGCAGTTGGGAAATTATTGTTGCAGTATTGGGAAATTACTAGTTTCCTGAAAGACAAGAAAGCATTTATTTTTCCATTAAGAAATAAAGTCCTGGCATGAAAAAAAAAAAGCAATGTTGAAAATAAGTCAGTGATGCCAGATTTCAGATGCCAGTGAAACCAGATTTCATTAACTTATTTTTGAGATTAGATTTTTGCTGGCAGAATTTTTCACCCTTGAGTTAGGAAATACAAAGCTCATATAGGTGTAAATTAGGACACAGGTTGAAGGATGGTTTCTTCCTTACTCAGACTTAACTTTATCACTCTTAACACTGTCCCCAGATCAGGGCTATATTAACCACTGCAGCTATTAGAAATACTTCTGGAAAGTAATCCATAAGACAAAGTATTTGTGTGTGTAGAGATACATACACACAAGGAGAGGTTTCTTCTGAAGAGAAAACAAATGCGTGCATGGGACTGTAAGTATATAAAGCCAGTCCTTCACATTTAATACTTGTGAAAGAAACAGAAAATACTCATGAGCATGGCCTACACTATCTGTTAAAAAGAAATGAGTTCTTATAATGTCCCTAGTTTTGACTTTTAAGCTAATTCTTTCTGCTGAGCAATAATTGAGATGGTTTTTCATCAGATCACTACTAAAATTAACACTGTAGGCAAAAAACCCATTTAATTTGGAAATTAATGTAATTTTAACAAATAGAGACTTCCATAAGGGACATACATGCAAGATACTCAGAACTTCCTGCTCAAGACCTGTGTTGTGTCAGGGAGAGAAGGAAAGCTGGAGAAGAAATGGAAAGGGCATAAACAAGACAAGAAAAGGAGTTCAGGAGGCTGCAAGGTTTTACCTTAGCTTCAGGAATATTACCCATAAACCATGAATTAATTAAGAACACTCACTGTGTTCTTAATTAATTCATGGTTTATGGGTAATATTCTGAAAAAGGTGGTGGTGGGTTACAAATTTCAGAATTACAGAACCACAGAATCAAATAGGTTAGAAGAACCCTCTCTCTGATATCATTGTGTCCAACCTACCCCAAGAACATCACCACATGAATTAGACCATGGCACTGAGTGCACATCTCACTTTGAGGCAGATCACCTGTCTGGAACACAAAAGGCAGAACTTCACTGTACTGTATGAAAGAATAAAGTAGCCTTAATGTAATGCTTCCATTCAGCTCTGAGGGGAAGAGCTGAATGAGTGCTCTTTCCAGATCCTCTTGACAATCTACTTTCCAGGACTGTCTAATGCTTGTCTTCAATTCAAAAATCTCAATATATCATTTATGAAGTGGTACTTTTCATCATCAAAATCTTATTTATCTTATTTCCCCTTTCCCTCTCCCAAATTTTTACTGGCATCCTCAAAGCCCTTCTGAAAACAAGGGTTTTTTTTGTTTGTTTGTTTTTTTTTTAAGAGCTACAGAATAACAAAGCAACATGATGAACTGAACTTTTCCAATCTTTCTCTATTTAAGAAAAAAAGCTACTGAAAATATAACATTTTAGAATATGTAAGAAAAGTGAAGGAAATTTAATAGTAAGTTAAGAGGAAAAAAATAGGAAGACAAGCTAAATAGAACCCTTTTACCTATTAGTCACACTCTCTGCATGTGAGGATACAGATCCAGTTCTCATCTCAGCAGATGAACTGAGCAGACTATTGTCCATTAAAGACCACACTCAGAAATACTCTGGAATGCTGTGCTCTCAGTCTACTTCATTAATTTCCCATCCTCGGAATAAATAATTAAATTTCAGTGGAACTGGGGCTGAACCCAAGGTTTTCTACTTCTGTAATGACTTATCTATTCCGTCCTGAAGGGTAAAGTTCTCACTAAATTTTATGAAGCTACCTAACACACACTGCTATATTTTCTTTCCAGCATGTTCAGCATATCTGCTCAGCATATCTGTCCTGAATTCACAAGTAGTTTTGCAAGCATCAAAGTTACACCAGCTCAGATAATTTACTGCTTGCTGAATCAAATGGCTGGTGCTATTTGCAATTCCACTGTGTTCCCAGAACTCACTGGCAAAAAGGGGGAAGAGCTGAAGGAAGCAGAAACAAACACCCACTGTTCATAGGCAGCTTTGCTACTTTAACATCACAGTTGCAATTAAGGTGATCAGTTGGGAGATATTCTGACTACAGATTTTTAATTCTGTAATGAAAAGATATGCCTCTCCCTCCAAAGAGGTTATCAAGTCCTTCTGTGATAGTAATACTACAAATAAAAGTAAAAGAATCGTATCAATATGGTTTTTTTTAGTTGTGACTATCATTTAAATACTGATTTTTGTTTCAACAGATCTCTGGCTCCCTGAAGAACATTATGGGATTCTCACGCAAATCACTTGAAAACTCTGCCTCACCCTGGCTGGACCAAGGAATTGAGCCATTAGTTTTGTGCAATGAAAGTAACTGGTGTTTGTGCAAGTCATTTCTATTTCCCCTTGGGCTAAGAGCACATTGACTTGTAGATTTTCTTTTTATTATTACTGAAAAATCCGAGAGAAAATGAGAGAACATAAAACCTGCACAATCTGAATGAGCACTGCTTCTAAACTAAGTTTTATTTAGTATTACAGTGCTTTGACATCTCATGTGATTTATAACTCTTAAGAAAAATGCAGCACAATAATGAATATACTAGCAAAAATATCACAGCAAAAAGAAATAGCAACATACACTCTCAGATCCTAAACTATCAATTTTGTAAGTACAGCAGTAGTAACCCTTTATACAGTTAGGGCATGACCTGAAAGAACTCAATGGACTATGCACAAAAGGAAAATGTTCTTTTAAAAAAATGTTCTAGCCCACAAAATAAAAACTCATCTGCTATGACAGAAGCACATTTTGGAACACATGAGATATCACTAAGATTTTCACTTTGTTCCAATCATGAAGAAAAATAAAGCGTAATAGTCTTTCTAATAAGAATGCTAGACATTCAGTATATCTCTGGAGTGAGTAAATAATCAAAGCCTGGAATGAGCTACTAGTTGGATTTTAAAAAAAAACTAAAATAAAACATGCAATTTCCAGAAAATAAAAGGTAATAAAATTGTACCATGCACTACAAAGGTGAATAATCACACAAGAAAAAACATATGAGCTTTAAAAACTCACTAATAAGTTAATTGACAGCATTTTGTTATACACATAGTAACTTCTCTGTTTCAGGCAAATAGGTATTTTCAGTCAGTAACAATATTTCACCTTATATTTAAAATGCATACACTTTTTGAAAGAGAGTATGTGCACAAATAAATACACTGATTCATGGACGCATGCACCATTTCTGTTATTTATGTACATTATATCCACTCTATGTTCTGTTCTTTTTAATTCTATTATAGGGATTACATATTATGCTCTGGAAATCTACAGCCACCAAAAAGTAAATATATAGCTTTATCCAGCTGGACATTACAAATATATTAGACACCCTGACACAGCTTATGTAAATATAGACAAAGACATGCTTGTGTATTCATTAAAAAAAGCTATTGTATTTTAACCTTGCTAGCAAGAAGCATATAAGGCACTGCACCACCCTTCTGCATGGCACCCTATGTAAATGAGTCCAGTGCATTTATAAATATGGATGTGGCAGACCCCCAAAGAACACAGTACCTGCTGTCTATCCAACCGCATCCTTTTTGCAGCATTTCTGCTTTCACTCTCACAGGCGGAAGCCAGGATACTCTCTGCAACTGCTGAAGTAAGGTGTGAGGGAATAGGTCGTGACTATGAAAGAGAAAAAGAAACACAGAAATTATTCCTAGCGTAATCCACAACATCCTTTTTCAAAGCACACCATACCATCACCTAGGCAGGAAAGTCCGCTCATTGAAATGCAGTTTATACCAACAAAACAGGGAAATGGAACTTGCAAAGATGAAAAATGAAACTAGTTAGATGTTAAAGCTGCAGCTGATCCACAGATCCACGAGAAGCCCTTTCCCCCCACAGCTCTATTGTCCACTGTGTTTAGTCTGGCTCATTAAGCTGTACTTTGAACAGACAGTGGCATATTCTCTGCGTTCCAGCAGCACCCTGGCCGTCTGATTCTTGTTAAGAAAACTGAAAGGCTTTTTATCCTGTGCAGCATGTGACAGAGATGAGTAGTGTTTTTTTTATAGTCATAAAAAAAAAAAAACAAGAAAAACCCAAAAAACAAAACCAAACAAAACAAAAAAATATCCAAGTGATAGGGTTGAAACATCACTCAAAACCTAACAGATTGTCAGAACATTTCAGAGCAGCCTCAATCTGTAGTATATGAATATTTGCATTCCTTGCTGCAACATGACTGATGTGATTAAAACGACTTAAAAAAAAAAATCTGTTTTTCTTTCGATAATGCCAGCCTTCTGACACTCCAGATATTTTGTTGTTCAACTAGATATGGTTCATTTTTCCAATTCAAAACCTGTCATTACTAATTTCATAGCATTTACACATTTAAGGTTAAAGGTGCAGTGAATTCCCCCCAAAAAAGGGAATGATAGAATCTTTTTAGCATCATTGTTGATTATGAACTCCAGTATGATCTTGCCTACCATTTCATTAGGAAGAATATTTACCCAGCTTTTTTTTCCTGATTACATACAAAACAATCTTCCTGAAAGATGAAGCTCATAATAATCTTCTTCATTAATATACAAAGACATATCAGAATTACCAAGAAAATAAACAAAGTGGGGATAATAACAGAGATACTTATGCACGTATTACAGAGACTGCAATTTACTGAGCCCAGTTCTGAACTTCCACAAATTTTCAAATCTTCATTGAACTCAAATTTACATTTTCTATATAAATTTTTACCTGCTGAGGCTATGGCCATGTGTGAGAGGGTTTGGGTGTGTTTTTTTGCTTAATGGTTTTTTTTTGGTTGGTTGGTTTTTTTGGTGTTTTTTGGTTGGTTGGATGTAGGTTTTTTAATTTGTTTGTTTTGTTATTCATATTGAAGAGTTTTACTTTCTTACTCCCAAAACCATGGTTATGAACCTGCTATGAAATGTCAAGTAATTTGGGAAAAAATTTTTGAAGTTACTCCCATTCAATTCCTAGACAACAACCTTAAAACAGGTTAATTGTATAGGCTCAACTGATTTTATGGTTTTAATAACATTCCAGAAACTGAAGAGCCAGCCATTATCAGTATTAGATTTTTACTTCTAAAAATTAAAGTCCATTTATTGACTTTGGATATGTTCTGCAGAATGCCAATTTTTAATGTGACACTCTACTATCTCTAAAGGATGTGACCACAGTCTGTCTGGGATTGGAAGATGAACAAGCTTTCAGAAATAGACAGGGATTTATGGATCTTCCTCACTAGTGCAATAGCCTTATTTCTCTCCACTTACATGAGAACAAGCTCTCTGGCATCAGCATAGCAGCCCTGCAAGAAAGGCTGCAATACTGCAATAAATTATACTTGATTTGACAGAACAGAGTATTGAACTTTCCAGTTTGGAAATAATTCAATCTAAGAGATGAGGGACACTGAAGTAACCCCCAGTGTCATGTCAGAGGTTAACATTACATGCTGTACAGGCAGACACCCTACTCAGAGCTCCAGAGAACAAAGTAAGTCTTTGCAGAAGGTTTTCATTGAAAAAGCATTATATTTAATAAACTGCCTCCCTGGAATGGTGATGTTACTCTGAACTTGTTACTGCATTCCACTAGATCCCTTTCTTTATTTGCTATCCAAGTACCACTGTACATGCTGCTGGTTTGTGTATGTTCAAGGTGCACTGACTCTGTTGGCTGCATGGAAGTCTTACTGTGGTCCTGTAACAGTGATGTTCACACAATGATATTCTTGAAAAATGGTGAGCAAACACCTGGATAATTCCTCTAGCTCAGGTCTTTACCTAAACCTGTAACTATACCTACACATCAGTGGTTTTTTAGAAGGTGATATATGAGCCAAAAAACCTAATGTTCTGACCAAAAGTAAATTGAACACCAGTTCTCTCAGTTTGTTTATTTATGGGAGAGAATAAGTTTATTGAAGTGTTTCATAAAAAAAAAATAAAGTGTTATTTTAAAAATCAAGCAGTTTTCTTTGAAAAGGAATGTAGTGGTCATGTGCTCTCTATTGAAATATTGAACTCAAGTTAGCCCCTGCAAAAAAGAGGAAATCTCTGGGTACTGAAGTATCTTCCTCTTGAAATACGTGTTAACCCATAATTTCTCTCAATCATCACTGCAGCTGGCTGTTGATATGTTCATGTCAAGAACTACCTAGAGTGAACTTTAGGGAAAATGTGATGAATACATGGCCCAGTCACCTGGGGAGTAAAGTACTCTAACAAAGCACAGGAGAAAAATCATCTGCTCAGGGTTCAGGCTCCATCAACAATTCTCTAGTATGGCATTGACTGAGAAGATGAGCACAGTCCTCTGTCACCAGGAGCAGAGCTGTTAAAAAGGAGATTTTTCTGCTTCACAAAATTCCCTATCCGTAAAGTCTCAAAAAGATCAATTTTGAAAAGCCTCACCTAAGAGGAAAAATTACTTTGAAATAACCACTTCAAAAAATTGTTTTTAAATAAACTGAATTAATATCTCCATCTTCTAAGCTCAGAAGTCCTTTTCGGGCTTAGTCAACTTCCTTTTCCTCTCTACTTCTGATTATTCATGATCTCTCTCATAACTACAGCTGTAAAACCAATTCTGTAAGAAGCTCAAACATCCCTGTTGCATTCTGAACATCTCTCAATTCCCAAGCTGAGGGTGAGATTCAAATGCCTTGGAAAACATGGCAAAAGTGGTATCATTCAGTTTTGCAGAAGGAAGCCTGCAGATCTCAGCCAAAAGGACATTTTGCAGGTTCCCAGGCTGCCCTCTGCAGAGCTGAGAGCTGAGTGCTGGTTCCTACATGTTTGGAACTACAGCAGGAAATGTGGGAGCCAAGGAGAACTTTTTCCAAGGGCTCCCAGGCTGCCCCCACAATTCCTGGATGCACAATCTGCCCACTGAACTAGCAGAAAACCAGGTTTCATTTCATGTCAAAATAGAAAACCCTTGACAAACTAACATTTCTTAAAGTAGAAAAAAAAAAGGCATTGCCAAAAAATTCCCAACCAGCTTTAGCTGGTTTGGAATGTGCTTAGCGTTGTTTGAGGCATAACCTTCACAGCCCCAGTCTGGTATTTCTCTCACTGCACAGTGATGTAAAGCAGGAAATAACTATACTGGAACTACCCATGTGTAAAACAAAAGAAAAGAAGAAATACTGTAAATTAATCTACCAGAAGTAGCAAATCACAAGGCACATTTTTGACATTTTGAACAAAGGACAGATAGAAAAGACGTGAAAATTTTATAGTAACTCACAGGTGAAGAGATGTATAAAACTTAGAAGGAATCTGGTGAACAGTGTAATAGAGACCTTCAGAGAAGACTGTCTCTCCATCACACAAAAGCAGTACAAGAATTGCTTTGTATTTACTTGGAAGCATGGTACTGCTCGTGACTGCTCTGAAGGAAAAGTCACATTTTGAACACACATCCGGTTTTGGTTTTTTACATCTCCTCAGCTGACACACAACTAACATCCAGCCTCTAACACAATGTAGGTGAAGAGCATTCTGATAAGTGATGTAAGGAAAAGCTGCTAGATTGCATATGCACACAGATGCCTTTGTTTATAGCAGTTTCTGAAGTGACTGACATTTAGGAAGTGGTTGAAATTCCCTCAGTAACCCATGGGAGATGACCAGCCACCTTCAGTCCTCCCATATTTGAAACTATTTTAAGACCACCACAGAGCCTGTAGATGACAACAATGACAACAAAGCAGCATGCATGCTTGACCACCTTGTTGGATATGCACTTTTACATGCATTTATGGGAAATAATTTTTGTTCAAATTGGTTTGAACTTTTCATACACGCATCCCTTTTTCTTTCTGAAGAGTTTATAAATCATTGGCAGATATACTACTTTTGCAAGCTGCCTAATGGAAAATCAAATTAGTCAGTACTTCTTTCTAGTCTAATAAGTGCTGTTTTGCCTTAAATTATGTTAAACCTAATGAAGAACTTTCATGACTTTGATGCTCCTTAGATCTGGGTATCAACAATCAAAGCATCTTACAACAAGCCTTTCTGGAGTTACAGAGTAGCCCTGCAAGGTTGCTGATTTTTAGTAGTTGAAATCAGAAATCCTTGACCCAGTTCATCTAGAAATTAGCTCACTTGGTGTAATTGCTGACTCTTTAAGAAAGAAGAGACTAGCATGTTCAATATGCTGTAAAATATCCATTTTCACTATAACAACTGTATGCAGCATCATGTTTAAAGTGAGGTACCTTTGCCATATCTTCATGTGAAACACCAAATATCTTTTCTGGCATAGTCAAATAATTCCTGTATTTCTACACAGAATCTAAAAAAATTTCTATGTTTTAGTTTCTTATGTCATTTTTTGGCATAAATTTACCAATTATTGATATACTAGATAACTGATTGTATTTCAGTCTAAACCACTAGCAGCAGTATACTCACTAAAAAGAATTTTGCAATTTACTGTGCATGCTGTCCATCCATGGTTAGAGATCCATTGTCTCTAAAGTTACTATCTTGGCATGTTTTTGAGATCCAGTATAAATAAAAGCCAAAGCTGTCGTACAAGAGTTTGGTCTACATACTTTCACACCTTACATTGGTCTGGCTCAGTTCTGAAAAAATATAGCTACCTGTTTAGTCAGAAAATGGGCACACATG